ATTGCCAAGGGACTATTCAGGTCTCACCCTCAGGGGATGGGGCTGTGTCGAAGCCATGAGACCTGAAGTGGGGTGGGGGCTGAGGATTGGGGATGAGGCTAGAGATGGGCTTTTCCTTTGTCTGCTCCAAACCCACATGTCTTCTTTCCTCCTGAACTGGTAGTTTCTAGTCGGAGTGGGACCTGTGGAATCAAGAGGTTCTCTCCAGGCTAACCTCACCATGCCAGTGGGGAATGATCTCTAATCATGACCACACAATTCCTTCTGCCAGGCTGGGCAGGGGCAGCCCGCCTCCAAGTGTACCCATGTGTGTGGCCACATTAAAGGATACACAAGGGTCTGAGGTTGATGTGTGTGGGACCCTAGGATGATGCAGTGACCGTGTGAATCCTGAATGAATGGATCTGAATGCGACCTTCAGGGTGTGCATGCATCCAAGTGTAGGCATGAACTAATGTCTGTGACTCAGGGGGAAGACTTGTAATTGTGAATGTGGCTGGTTTGGGACAGAGTATGTGGAAGTGTGTGACTGCACATGCACAACTGTGCACACAGTGATGAGCGCAGGTGAGCTATTGCATGTATGAGCAATTTAATGTGTGTATATGCCTGGCCTTGGTTGTGACATGTGTGCCTGACATTGAAGGGGGAGATATATTGGGGGTTGGGGGAAGTGTGTGGTTGTGTGTGGGGGTGGACAACTGGGAGTGTAAGTGTGACTGCTTGTGAGTATGTGTGTAACTGAACTGATGTGCATTTATGTACAGCTGTGAGCCTGTGGATGGTTGTAGGTGAGCAGGATTGTGTGTCTGAATTGATGTGAGTCTGTGGGTGTGTGCCTTTGCATGAGGATATGCGTGAGAGTATGTGACCAAAGAGTTGTAGGTTTGTGGGTTTGCCTATTGTGTGAGGCTGAGTGTGAGAGTATACATGTGGGTTTATGCATGTGAAAGATGCAGTGTGTTTCTGTGACGTGCTGTTGAACATGCCTAGGAGAACGGCAATGGGTTTGTGATCAGGCTATGTGTGTATGTGGGTGTATACATGTGTGACTGTGTATGGCTTTGAATACTGGAATGTGCATGTGACTGTGTCTATGCATGTATGAATTCATATATTAATATATACATGTATTTGTATATATATGTATAGTATATACATTTATATGAATGCGTGATGAATATGGTGGCAGCTATGTGTGACAAAATTGCTGAACCTAGACGCATGGTGGGTGGCTGCCTGACATGCTTGTGTGTGTGTGTGAGACAGAAATGCTGCACCTGTGTATGAAGTGGGTGGCCGTACATGGCTGTGTGTACTCTAAGTGACTCCCAAGTGGTTGGGTCTGGGGCATCTCACTGCTTGACCTCTTGGGGACAGAGGGCTGAGGTGGTGGTGTCAGTAAGGGGCTCGGCCACCTGAACAGGTAAACCAGCTTCCTCCCAGCCCCCCTAGTGTCATAGGTCGCTGAGGCCAGGTCATTGCTGCTGCTTTCAGCATGTGGCTGGTGGCTGGCAGAGGATGGGCTCAGCAGTCCATGTCTTTACCTAGCCCAGGAAAGATTTGCTGCAAGCAGCTGTCTCTAATCGTGCCAGCCCTGGAGCTCTCACCCTGGTATCTACAGAGCAGCAGAAGCAAACCCTCCCTGGAGTCCACCAGATCAACGAACCCTGGGGGACAAGGTCAAAGACTGTCTTGGGCAAGGGACTTGTGGGCAGCCAGACTGGCTCATCTGATCTCCTTTAATCAACTTCCAGCAAGTACACATGATTAGGATTTAGAGTCAACTCCCCTGTCCCTCTGAACTGGGGAGGGGGGGCACGAGGTGTGTGCAGGAGGAGCGTGTGCACAACTGGGATATGGGTGCTCTGAGGGTCAGTAGGTGGGTTGTGCTTATCACCTACTCACGCCCTTCACCTATAGAGGAAGTAACTGTGCCTCTATGCTGCAAGGGGGTGCATTTCTGCCTGCGTCCATGCCGCAGCATGGATCTTGCACCTGACATTTCCAACCTGCCAAGGGTGTAGGGGCTTTCCCTGAGCACTTGGGGACAGGGATGAAGTTTCACTGACAACACCGTCCTCTCCAATTCCCAGGCACCTTTTTCCCAGTTCCCAGGAAGTGGCTGTGGAATTTGCTTCCAAATATAGACTCTGGGTGGCCCAGGCTGCTGCAGACAGATCCTTCGGCCTCCCAGGCAGAATGGCAGAACAGTGACTTTCTTCCAGGGGGCCCAGGCCCACAGGCCTCTGCTTGGAGCTGCTGGTAAAAATAATAATCATAAAAATAGCCAATAAAAAGCAGGGGGGCACTGAGCATTAGGTATGAGCCCAGAAAACCATCTGACCCGAAGTGATATTTGGATGGTGGTTTTCCCACCCTCTACACACACACACAGACACACACACACACACACACCCTTCCACAATGACACACAGGCTCACACAAGCTCACACCACACACATGCACAAGACCCCTTGTACCACGGGCTCACAGGTGTTTTCACATAAGGAGGTCCACAGAAAAAGTGCATAGGTAATAATTTTTGAAATGCCCCCACTCAAGGAAGCACATATAAGGGCACAGGCACACACAACTAACACAACAGCAGAGAGACACGCAGAGCTGCCCCTCAAATGACACCATCCTTTAGAAAGACTCTAGGACAATGCCATATTCAGCCACACAGAAAGCAGACACACAGTCCACTTCTGCAGCTGGGCAGCCTGCAACGTCTGGTTCTGTAGGAGATGGAGATTGGGCGCAGGGCAGGAATGCCATAGGACTGGCCCTTGTCTGTAAGATTCAGTCTCCTGGGTCCTGGGCACTCACCAGTACTCACCCATGGGGACCAGGAACCAGGACGTCGGGCTTTTGTGGGAGCTGTTGCTAGCGAGCAGGGCAGGCTGAGAAATCTGGGAGGAACTGCAAACCCTGAGCCTGATGTCTGCTAGCATGAGGGTGGCCTGGGTTTAGGGGTAGCCGAGGATCCTGGAGATGCGGCAGGATCACCTGAGGGTGCCTCAGAGGGGATGCATTCAGCGTGGAGGTGGAAAGACTCGGGCACTAGAAGAATGACTCCCGGAGCAGGGACGACAGCGGTGGAGGAGGGTGGAGGGAACCGAAGGGAGGGAAGTGACAGAGTGGGGATCCCTTGCACCTCCCTTTGAGGCGCTACTCAAGGGCTTTGGATCTCAGAGCCCCTCACCTTCTAAAGAAGTGATTTTCTTCCTAACTTGCACGTGTGGCAGCCAGCGCTGCGCCCAGAGCAAATAGGCGGTGGGAAGAGCCTGAAACAGGGGGAAGCGAAGGGAGCGCCTGGGGAGGCTGCAGGAGGGGCGCCAGCAGCAGGTCCCTCTGGGTCCCAAGTCTGGAGCCCCTATGAGGTCTGGGACTTTCCTGTCACCACTGGGGGCTTGAGGCGGGGGGACTCCACCGGCTCCTGGGAGCGCCGCAGAGCAAAGATAGGCGAAGGGCCGCGCGTGGCGCGCGCTGTCCCGGCGCGAGAACGCAGTGCCTGGGAGGCGAAGGCCTGGAGCAGGGAGGCCAGGCGGCCGTGTCGGACTGCGAACTCCACGCTGCACCCGGGCGCCCTCCGCAGGCTGAGGCCGCGCCGCTGGAGCAAGCCGGGGCACAGCCTCCACGTGCACTCGGGAACTGCTGGGAATCCTTCAAACGCTCCACCTGAAGGCGCGGGAGAGTGGGGAAAGGGAAGGAGCTGAGTGCATTTCCCGAAGAGGCTGTATGACCTCGGGCAAGTCCTCACCCACTCAGAGCCTAATTATTTGCTTCAAAAAAATGGAGCAGGGCACATCTCTCCCTGGCTCCATCCCACCCACCCATCTTCCTCTCTCAAAGCCAGCGGACAGTGTGTACTGGCTTTGAGGCCAAGACGAATGTGGGCCAGGATTTGGAAACAGAATAGTGAGATTTGGAAAGGAGAACATCAGCATCTTTCTGTCCTCCCTCCCATCCTGCTTAATGCCAGCGAATGTGGGCTGTTTGCCCCCAGGCTCTCTTCTGGGGCCTCTGCTTCCTCGTGGGAGTGGGGAGAAAAGCCTGAGACATCAGAAATGATCTGAGCCTTCACTCCCCAACACAAGGAGCAGTTGCCCCCGGTCTCCAACTAAACGTGCTTTTCGATGCTGAAAAAGTGCCCTTTGCACTCCCCCAATCCAGTCCGGTTCTCCTTCCTGCCTTGATGGAGAAACTCTGTCTCATAAAAGCCTGGACTCCGGCGTCAGATGGCCAACTCCGGTGGGTTCAAATCCACCAGATTTGGATGCACCAGAGTGGGGCGGTGACCAGAGCTCCAGAAACTTCTTCTGTAAGGTTGAGAAGAATGGAGCTGCCTTCTCAGAGCAATTCAGAGCTAAACGTGTGATCAAAACCAGGTTTCGTTGGCTCTTTCCTGGCCTGTCATAAAGGTTAGCTATGATTGCACCTCAAATACTAACAGATTTGTAAGCCTAAAATACCCACATTGCTCTCTTGGTGACTGTGTAGACACAGTAGGACTCTACTGAAAATATTAATGTGAAATGCTGGGAAGGGAAGGAAACAGGCGGCCTTGGGTTAGGAGCAGGAATCTCTGTAGGCTGCCTGGGCTCTCAGAAGGGAAAGCAATGGGTGGAGGCACTGCAGAGCCAGCCAGCGGCTTTGAGGGACATTCACTGTCCCATTGGAAATAGGGGAGAGAAGTTGAATTTTGTCTTTCCGGAGAAGTTGGGAGGAAGATGGGGTTGGCAGCAGAATGGAGCAAAGCTGAGAGGGGACCCAGAGGAGGAGTTGCTCCCATCCCACCCTCAGAGACCTCGGTTGGCACCCTGGGTCTGGACCCTTTCTCTCTGTCACCCTTTCTCTCCTTACTGCCTACGTTGCTGCCAGACCCTACAGGCTCAGTGCCTCAGAAGAAAACCAGCCTGTATCGTCCACTGTCCACGCCAAAATAAAAAGATCCACTCCCTCCTCCCCTCAATACAGATTCAAGAAGAAAGCAGTGCCACCAGAAATATTATTTTAATGTTATTTCAATTACATCCGCAATTGCAATTTTTTTTTCTAAAGAGGAGAATAAATTATTATTTTCACTCCATTAGCCCTTGCAGACATTAATGCCACAATTTTGAATGCTCAGACTTTTCTCCTTCTGTTTGGGAGAAATGACCCCGGGTAAAGAAAAGCATTGCCTGGACTGCTCGGGAGCCTCCCATGCAGATAGGGGTGGTTAACAGATGTGAAGAGATTAATCGATACATAAAGTCCCAGGTTTCTGGCTGAGATGTTTGGGCTGCGGGTTTCGATTCAGATACATCATAGGCTGTACATGCTAGGCTTTGGGTTCAGAATTCTGAATTCAAAGACAGGGCTTTTGCTCAAGACCTGAACCCAGCTGGTACTAAACCTCCATTTTCTCCCCTGTTTAAAAAAGGGGGCAGTTTTAAAATCCATGCTCTCTTGGACCCATTTAAGGAGGCTCCAGAAAGTCAAGAGCGATAGGCAGAAATGCTTTTCAGGCCTCAGACCGCGAAGCAAATTGCGCAAATGTCCTCAGGGCACCCCCTTGTTGAGGGCATTCGGTGGGACTTCCAGGTTGCCATGGTGACCAGGAAATTCAGGGTCCTTTCGGAAACAATAGGAACTTTTCCACCAGGAACTTCGGCCAATCGCTGGCCACAGAGAGCCTCTGTCAGCTGTGTCACTCCAGTCTGTTTTGGGTGTGATTTGGGTGAGGGAGCAAGGTGTCTGGGGTCCCTGCTTCCGGACCCTACTGTTAGGATGTCACCAAAGGCCAGAAACTCAGCACCAGGGAGCCACAGGAGACTGGCTGGAGAGGAAGAAAAATTAGAGGTCTCGACCAAGCAATTGTTTCGGTGACAGATCCTTCCAGATTGGGGTTTGGCCGCCCTCATCACCCCCACCCCCACCCACCTCCCTTCACCTCCTCAAGGTCATTACTAGAGTTTTCACTCACAGTTCCAGGCAGGGTGGCCGCCTCCACTCCCTCCCATGTATGCCAGAGCTCTGCAACTGGGACCCGTAGGGTCCTCTCTCAAGAACGTCTCTCCGCAAAGGAAAGCCAGGGAGGATATAGAGATCAGTTGTGCTGATTAAACTGGCTATTTCAGAGCCAACACAACAGCATTTCAGCTTCTCTTGACCCAGCTAGGCCCAAGTCTGAAAGCCTGATCAGATCTTAGAAATTTTGTAAATCAATGGCCTGGAAGATTTTGGCCATTGCTTGAAGGTTGCCTGAATTACTGGGTTGATTTGGAAGACATCAAGATGAGTTTTCATAAAGAGTTTAATTATCATCACAATTGCTGTCTCCTTTGTTTTCTTTGTCGCTACAAATTCTGAATCTCTGCAGCATAGACTTGGAGACAGACCCACACCCCTTCTCCTTAAATAAAGCGCTTTATGAAACATCAGATCGAATTCTCTCCAGTGGGGACGCCTTGCTCTGTGAGGCCTGGCTGGCTGGAAAGAGGCCCTCAGGCAGCCAGAACTGGAGTTGAAGTTGCATCTCTGGTTTTGTCTCTGGCCCTTTGAGCGAGCTTAACACGTGTGGATTTAATTTCCCTTTCTTTCTTGCTTCCTTTTCTTTTCCCCCACCCCCACCTTGTGAGGAAACAAGAAAAATAGTCTGCTCTGTCGACAGCGCGACACCGTTCCATTTGCCAAAGAAAATTTGTCTTTCCAGAGTCCCAGAGAGCAGCGGGATCCCAGGTTTCCAATGAACCCTTCAATTGAGGGAAGAGGTATCCAGACAGGCCCCCACCTTCACCCCAGACCTAGAGATATTAGTCTGAGTCTCTCTCTTACAGGGTTACAGACTTGGAATGTCCTAGGTTTCTCTTCCCTACCCCAAACATTTTAGGAGGCCTATCAGTGGGTTTGACCTACGGAGATGGTTGGAGTTCTCAGGCTCCATGTGACCCTGGGGGGCTCCAAGTTCTCCCAGCTGCGACCCTCACCTTTCTAGGCTGGGCACTACCCACATTGGAGGAGATGAGAACAGTGGCATCCTTGTGTCCGGGCACCACTCGCTTCCACCTTTCTGCTCTTTGAAGTGTGTAAATTTCTAGCATTGGGATCCTTCTCAGCTGGGCCTTGAAATGATGTCCCCCTTCCAGTTCTCATTTCATTACCCTGAACAGGAAAACAAAAACAAAAACAAAAAACCCTCCCCCCTTCCACCACCACCAAAAAACCTCACCCTCCAAACTTGGAAAGTAAAGAGGAAGAGTATCATCTAAGCACATGAAGCAACGCTAACATGAATGAGCAGAGCAGCAATAATCATTTTTGGTGGAAATATTGGAGGACAACATTGGATACTCGATAATAATCATAGCAGCCAGTATTCTTCCCACATACTTCCGGACAAAAGGAGGGAAACCGAATAAAACATTGAGAAGAGACATACTGTGGTCCTGGAAAAAATATAAGGGAGCCAGATCTAACAGGGTGAGAGGGGAAGTGACCCCCTTGAGAAACCAGGGAATGTCCCACCCTCAGACCGACCCTTTATTTTGCAAATTGAGCTGGTCAAAGTTTCGTTTGCCATCATTTCTATTGTTTTAATTCGTATTCATTTTCCCAGCCCCATCCGGGCTTCTATTTTTCCGTCACCCCCACGATCCCAAGTCGCCACCAGGTCTGTTGGGGACTTATCGGGAAAGAAATAGAAAGGGATGTATTTTAAAGCGAGTTCTCTTTTGAGAGGAAAACAAGGGGTAGTTCTGGATGTGTCTTTCTTAAAAACGGAAGGAGAAAGTGAAGAAAAAAAATTAACAGCCATCGGCCCCTTCGGTTTTGGTTTTAACTTTTTAAACAAGAACCTCTGCTATCCTGTTGCGGTATTAAAATCAGGGCAGGAATTTAATCAAAATATTAAAAATGAGAAAACTACACTCCGGGAGAAAACCCAGCTGGGAGCACGTTCGGGAAAGCGACGTTTCTTCGAAGGGAGGAAGAGAGGATGCGCGCTGTAGCCGGCTCCGGAGCTCATTGACCAGACGATTAGGGAAAAGAACCAGGATTCTCAAATCTAGTTGCGGTCGCTCGTCTCTCCTTTACTTTGTTGGTGGCGCGGGCTCCGGAGCGTCTGGGAAAGCCAGTCTGTGACGCTGGACTTGGAGAATCCTTGTAAAGCCGGTCCAGGTGGCTGCAGGGCCCGCGGTCCGGGATGCCAGAGAAAGGAACCACACGGAAAAGAACTCGCTACGCTCGGAGCTTCGCCTTTCCCTTCCAGCCCCCGCGGGGCCTAGGCCTCGGCTTCCGGCCCACCTCGGTACAGAGGTCAAGTAGAAACTCATCTCATCCCACGAGGGTTTGGGAGAAGGATTTCGGTTTGCGTTCTTGGCATCTGGAAGCAAACGCTGCACCGAACGAGCCTCGGCTTTGGGGAAAGATCGTTATTAACAGCTTGGGAAACGAAAGCGAAGCTCGCGGCAGCCACTCCAGCCTGGCGGAGAGGAAGGACGCGGGTGGTGCTCTCTGGAAGCAATGGGGTCTGCGGTCCAGGTGGCCGGGAAGCTCGTGGCCGGCGCTGGAAGCTGCCCGCTCTCCCCGCGGGCCTGACCTTGGCTCCCGCACCAGCTCTGCCGGCCGGCTGCCTCCCTGCACATTTTGCTGCCGTTCCAGTCCGGAGCTGACCAGGCCTGGAGCCAGGCCATGCTTCGGAAAGCCCTGGGGGCTGGGGACGCACAAAACCCAGGGTCGAACTCTGAAGCTGGGGACAAGTCCAAATTCAGACGTCCAGCTCCCTCGGGACCCTTCGGCGGGGAACTTACCCTTCTGGAAGGCCGGACGCTCGCCGGTTCCGTGCTAGGCAGGCCTAGCTCTTCTCTCGGCGCCGCCAGGGGCGTCTACGCCGTACGTTTGCAACTGAAGCCAGTGAGTTTCCAGCGGTGTGCAGAAGCTTGCGAGTAACCACCACTGGGCTGCTTAGAAATTACGCCCATTGATCAGACTAAAAATAATAGTCATTATTACAAAACAAAACAGAGTGCCTCGGCGGGCCCTAGTGCTATAATTATTCTCTGCAGAAATCACCCCTCTCCACTCCCACCCCTACTCCACCACCCACTCGCACCCCGCCCCTGCCGGGCCACTCTGGGACGAATTGCATTCTTGGACCGCTCTCTCAGCAAGGCACATTACGGAGAACTCTGTCTCATTTCCCCTTCACGATAACCCAGTAATTATTTCTATGCAAATCGGCAAGAGGGCACTGAGTTATCGTGTCCCAAAGTTAACCAGCTAGAGCGGCGCCTCAATATTCGTTTGCCAAGAGCTCCTCCGTGGGGGATTTTTTTTTTTTTTTAATAATAAGGATCTTCAGCCCTCCGAACAACTCGATTTCCTTCTAATAGAGGTCTAAGGTGGACTCCCACCTCGCTTCGTGAAGAGTGACCTCCTCTCCCCCTTGCTAAGAAAGTCGATCTTGGCTCTATTTGTGTCTTATGTTCACCACCCTCATTTCTCCGGAGAAAGGTGGGTTAGTTTATGTCTTTTTTTATTCCCGAAGCGGAGAGGTCCGGGACTTGTGGCTGCGCAGACCCAGCACCGATAGGCAAAGACGGAGAGAAATTAACCTCCCGCCGCTGCCCCCCAGCCAAGCGTGACAGCGCGCGGCCCGGTTGCGTGACTCGTGACGTCTCCAAGTCCTATAGGTGCAGCGGCTGGTGAGATAGTCGCTATCGCCTGGTTGCCTCTTTATTTTATTGGGGTATGCCTGGTAATAAACAGTAATATTTAATTTGTCCGAGACCACAAACCAACTTCGAGCTGGGAGGTAGGTGCTCTTCTTGACAGACATTAGAAGAAGATCCGGCCTAAAGAGGTCTCTTTGAGGGGTCCTTTTCAAAGTCTTCACCTGAACCTTCCTCTCCATCGAGGCGCACCCGTGGCTTTTGCGCTAGAAAGAAGAGGTGGGATATTTGGAGGTGAGTTTTGCCCTGGAGGACTAAGGGGGAAAAATGTTTCTCTTTGCACTTGGCCTGTCCCTGCTCCTTGGCTTTTCACCCCGTCTTGGTCTTGCTGCATCTTCCCTCACTGTGCGGCTACTTTTCATGACCAAAATAAGAATGGCTTCGTGTGTCACCTGGCAAGAATGGATTATCTCTAATAGTTTAAAAATCCCCATTTTGCTTGGTAGACCAGACCATCTGTGCTCAATGAACTAAGCAAATCTGGCTGGGCTATTACCTGGGAGAGTCCAGATTTTTCCTCTCTGTAGGGGCCTGAAGATTATTTATGGGAATTAATTTTATCCCCAAATCTCTGAGAACTTAAAGGGATTGGGGAGGTCTTTCTGGATTTCCCTTCCCCTCTACCAGAGATGTAGCGGTTCAGCCGCATCCCGATGCCATGTTTGTTTTTTTTGTCTTCCACCTAGGGCCGCCTTGTTAGCAAGCCCAAAGGCCTCCCGGCTGACCTGGACGGTGACGGTGTTTTCACAAATAAATAAGTCGCCCTGGCAAAGATCTGTTTGCAAACAAACCTGGAAGGTGGAGTGAGCACTGTAGCAAAGGAGAGTTGGTGTTCTCCCTGGTTGCCCCACATTTGGGGTTAGACATTCCGCTTTGGCATTTTGCAGCGATGGCCTGGCCTGGGATTTAGCAGAGCAGCCACAGAGGGTTACACAGCTGCTGATCTCAGGGCAATTCTCCTCCCTCCATCCCTTTCTCCAGACCTTGGCTTACACGGCCAAGTCTCTTATCAGAACCCTAGAAAAATCAGGATGATGGGGATACAGTAAGGATGGGAAACAGAACAGGACCCCTGACATTTTCTACAAGTACCAATATTTGGTGTCCCAATCTGGATCTGCTCAGACTGAGACCTACTGACTGTGTTTATGCTTTTATTGACCTCTTCAACTCACCCTCAAAAAAGTACATTTCAGAGAGGGAAAGGGGCAAGGAGAGGAGACCAGTGGAGATGAAAACCCCAGCCAGTCCCCAATCACTGTTTGATTATTTTAATAAAACTGGGCACTGCCTTGTGTACACCTGGAGCAGGGGAGGTCTGGTGGCCTCACTGGTGGGGGGTGGGAGCCCACAGCGATTCCGTGGCATCTTTGATCTCAGCCCCCATCCCAATGCACCTTCACCCTGCCTTTACCCCAGAGTCGCTGAGAGTAGGGGTGATGAGTAGGGGGTGGAGGGGAGATGTCAGGAAGGCGAGCGCGGGCCAGGCAGGGTCAGGCAGCGCTCCTTCTCGAGGTCAGCTTTGGAGAGAATGTATGCAAGGCTGCGAAGGCCCGCAGGGTGTGTGTGTGTGTGTGTGTGTGTGTGTGTGTGTGTGTGTGTGTACGCGCGCGCGCACGACTAGACTCGGTTCTCTGCACCGCCAGCGTCACGGAGATTACTTCCCGGTTAGAAGCCGACCGCATTTGAAATGATTTGTGCAGGAGTTTTTGCAGCCACCGCTTGCTCAGAGAAGCAGAGATGGATGGAGGTTGGGAAAGGGGTAGAGAGGAGGGAGTTATTGCAGGTCTGGGTTTGAGAGTCGTATTGTGATTTGAGTGTTCGGGAAATCTAGTGGAAAAGTTTGGGGGGGAAGGGAGGACAGAAGGGTGGGAGGGAGAGAGAAGGGGGAGGGAGGCAGAGTGCAGTGGGAGCTAGTTGGATACGCGATTTCAGTATTTGTGAGCATCGAGGCAACCCAACGTCACTGTGCTCAGCTGAGTTGGCTTGTATTTCAGAGAGACTAGAGAGAGAGAGAGAGAGAGAGAGAGAGAGAGAGTGAGAGAGAGGGAGAGAGAGAGACTCTCTTACCTCGAATTCGGGAACTTTAATCTTGAAAGCTGCGCTCAGAAAGGACTTCGACCATTCACCGGGCTCCCAACTTACCCTCCCTGGGGGTGTAAGGGAGGAGCGGGGCACTGAGATTACCTGGTTGCGGGTGCTCTTGGAGGCTATTTTGTGTTCTTTGGCGCCTGCCAACTTGGAAGTATTTAGGGAGAGCAAGCGCACAGCGGAGGAGGTGTGTGTTGGAGGTGGGCAGTCGCCGCGGAGGCTCCAGCGTGGGTGCGCCCTAGTAGGCAGTAGTAGCCGCTATTCTGGGCAAACAGTAAACCCCGCAGGAAGCCCGAAACCACCATGCCTGCACCCCCGCCTCGCCGCGGGCTTCCCTGCTAGGAGCAGCAGAGGATGTGGTGAATGCACCGGCTTCACCGAGCGAGGTAACCCACCCAGCAGATGGCCCGGGAGGCTCAGGAGGGAGCTCGTCGGCCGAGTCGGCTGGGGCGGCGGGAATGGCGGATTCCAGTCTGGCTGTGCATTCATACAGCGCGGCTCGCAGAGATTTTGCGCAGCTCGGAGCTCCCCAGCGAATGGAGTCCGGGAGGCTGCCGCAGCTTGCGGAGTGGCTTTGAGGTTTGCAGAAAACACGGCCTGGTTCTGTCACACCGCACGGTGTTCGCCTCTGCCAGCCTGGAGCTCCCCGGACCCTGGCGAGGGCTCAGGGTAGGATTCTCCCTGCGGCTGACCGCCGAGAATGGGAGCGCGTGTGGGGGCGCCATCCCTGCTTTCTTTTGTTGTGAGGCTGCGGGGCTCCCATCACCGCTTCCCTGAAGCCCCGAGGGCCGAGGTGAAGAAAACTGCTTGCGAGTCGGGCCTCCGAAGCTGTCCTTCTCCTCTGCCCCGTTTCTAGATCGCTAACCACTGCAGATCAGGATGGGATCTGGCCCCTTCCCGAAGCAGCTGCTAAGGTTTTGGGGAGCCATCGCTTGTACCCACTTCCCAAAGTCTTCCCGTTTTGGGGAGGGGGGTGATTCCTATTTGAGTATTGAGGAGATTGGAAGAAGATCGGAGAGCAGGAGACAGGCTCATCGGGCTTGAACAGCTCTGCGGCTGTTATTTTATATGTTCTAACCTCATACGCCTGCAAACCCGGGCCGTTCTATGCATTGTGGGGACCCAGGCCGCCGATTCAATGCCTCCAGCCTAGGACTTATCCGAGAATGATTTTGCCCTCGCCAGTCCTGAGCCTAGGCTTGCAATTTTAGCAAGCCAGGCCTGGCTGAAGTTCAGAGAACCCCCGCTTCGGCCTGGTCACTCCACAAAATGCCCGCCATCCCCGACCCGGCAGCAGAGCGCGGGTGGCGGGCACGCAGTGATGCGCCTCCCTCGGAACTGCTATATGGTGGTCTTCTTCATTCAGTCTTCTGTTTGGCCACTTTTTAATCTTTTAACGAATCTTACTTAAGGTTGGGGTAAAGAAAAAGACTTTTAATTTTAAAGGACTTTTACTGTTATGGCCTGTGACTGATAAAAGATAGACATGAATTATCTTTTGAACCTAGTCTCAATCTGCACAACCTTCCCCTCCTGTGTTTTTGTTTTTGCAAGAGGCGGGTTATTTCAGACAGTTTTGCCTGCTGCAGAAAACGGTTCCTCTTGTGAGGTTTAATTCCGACGGCATCTTGTAATTTGATGAAGAAAGAAATTCTCTAAAGGACACTGGGTTTTGTTTTGTTTTGTTTTTGGTTCCTACCCAATGGCTTCCAAAAATACCCATGCCTTATCTTTATTGGCTCTTCCAGAAGTCCAGACAAATTTGACGGGCAGCTTGCTTATCACGGGGAGCCTACGCAGGGGAGATGCAGGCCTCGCCTCCTCCGGGTCTGACGCGGGTCTTTTGCAAGAGGTTGTGCCTGGTCATAAAGTAATAGTAATAACGCTAGGAATACTAGTAATAGTAATAATTCTAGGGCCTTCTGCTGTCTCCTTCAGCTGGGAACGGAGGTGCTGGTAGTTGGAATCTGGGGGCCAAACTGCTCCCTCCTGTCGCTAAAACTGTGCTCTCCAACCTTTCTCTCTTTCTCTCCCTCTCCCCACCCCCATCTCCTCCTGCTTCTCTTCCTCAGAGCAGAACCTTGCCTGGGCACAGGGCCCCGGGCGCACCATGGCCGACGCAGACGAGGGCTTTGGCCTGGCGCACACGCCTCTGGAGCCTGATGCAAAAGACCTGCCCTGCGATTCGAAACCCGAGAGCGCGCTCGGGGCCCCCAGCAAGTCCCCGTCGTCCCCACAGGCCGCCTTCACCCAGCAGGTAAGGAGACCTCACCTTTGCCAGAGACCAAAGTCAGAGTCTGGCTTCCCTGCTCAGCGCCTCTAGAGGGGAGAGAACAAAAACAAACAAAAACATCAAGAAACAAAACGAACCCACAGGCCATCATCATCCCTGTTCCTCTTTATTCCCACTCCATTCCACCTTTCTCTTTCCTGTCTCCCCAGATGCTCACATATTGCCACTCACTTTATTGTGATGCTTACCTTTATGGCGAAAGGATTTTTAAAATCTATCTAAATTGTTAGAGAAACCTCAATTACCCGGCTGTTTGGGGTCAGCTCACAATGGCCTAGATAATTCCTTTCCCGCTGCACTACGTGTAGAATCGGTCCTCAGCATCTTAATTAGGGCCGGGTCAGCAGCCGCTTCAGGCCCGCATGAGCAATGGCTTGACCCCTCTTCAGATCTTCTGTAGCCTTCGCCTCCTCCTGCCTCCTCCGTGCCGCCGCCTAGACCCGCGCACTGCACCATTTGTCTTGAGGTCGCCGCCCAGCGGGCTGGTGCGCCCTCACCCACAGCTGAGAGCGCGCAGGGCTTTGCCGGGAGGACACCAGGAGCCTCGGGTTCGCCAGGCTACAGCCTGGGCAGGGGCAGAGGGAGGAGCCTCACCTTGCGCTCTGCGCCCTAAACCAGGGACCCACTGGGTGCTCAAGTCGGCCCCTCCTTAGATCCCGATTATTTTTTAAGTAGGGTGGGGTGACTTGACCAGAAAAGGCCCTTGCACTTGGGATTTCGATGAATGTCCTGGCTTTTACTGGAGTCTCTCTTTGGCCTTTAAGTTTCAGGAAAACATATGTATATTTCTAGAGAAGCAGAGAGAGTGAATGAGAGCATGAACACAGTTTAGGAAATTTATAGATTTTTTTCTTTGAAGGAAAAGATCACTTTTTAGCCTGTTGCAAATTATTGCAAAAAGAAGAGATTGTACGTGCCTGTGTGTGTGCATATATATGTATATATATTTATATTTGTATCAGTTCTATAAATTTAGTTTTAGCTGAAAGCCAAAATGTTAAATGACATCAGGCATGACCTGTAATCAAAATAGCTGGACGTGAATGGAGCTACTTGTAGGGAGAGCCTGGAAAGTTTGTTAATATAGACATTAAGGATTAATTTTCATTCTGGACTGTGAGAACATATGATAATACAAACAGTTTTTAGTTTAAAAATTCATGTGTTCATATGGGCACCCGCCATGGCCAAGAATAAGCAAGCACGTGCACATCTGTATTTTTGGTGTGTGGGCATCTCTGTGTCCACATAAGAACATTCTGAGTGGGTTTCTAGATTTGGTTCTAGTTTTTCTAGATTAGTTTTTTTTTTTTTTTTTTACCTTGTATCTCAGCTGAAGTGGATTGAAATAGCTCTGTTTTGTTTTTGTTTGTTTTCTGCTTATTCCGGTCCTCCTCAGTGACATTCTGGAGCACCCTGTTGGTGGGTGATACTTCCATACACTTGTGCTGGTGGCATTAAAAAAAGACAGCACAGCACTGTGGCTTCAAGAGGCTGTTGCAAACATCTGGGACTGAGCCTACAGCGGGATCCCTGAGCAGAGGCTGTTGGGTGCTCCAGATAATTCTGCAGTGGGCTGAAGCCACTTTTTACCCTGTGAGACCACAGTCTCCAGTGGAAAGAAGGAGCAGTCTCTGTGTTTTGGGGGAGTTTGGGGAAGCAATGCCCACTACCACCAGGGCTTGTCAGCGTGACGTTTTTTCTCCTTCCTGCAGGGCATGGAGGGAATCAAAGTGTTTCTCCATGAAAGAGAACTGTGGCTGAAATTCCATGAAGTGGGCACGGAAATGATCATAACCAAGGCTGGAAGGTGAGCTGGCTAGTTGTGTAGAGGGAAGAAAAGAAATTGTGGGAGAGGTGAGGAAGAAAAGGTGGCTTGGAAGAGAAGGGAGACTAAAGGGGTGGGGGAAGGAGAGTCGACACTTTAAAGAAGAAAATTAGAGGAGAGAGAGAGAGACAGAGGAAGGTTCTAGTTAAAGGGACACAGGAAGATTCCTCCATTGATCTCTCCTAGGATGGAGGAAATACTCCAAACATTGGAGTCCGGAAACCCGGCATTTCTCCCACCTCACTTATGAAAAGAATAAAGAGCTTGGGAGGCCATGCTATCTGGATTCCTAATGAGGGAAAGAGAGAGGAGGAAGAGGGAAAGGCAAAAACAGAAAACAGAGACCCGGAGAAGACAGAATCTAGAAGGTCTTTGGGTTTCAGGGGTCTTGGACTTTACTCTTTCCTCCGGCCCTCACCCCACCCTCCCTGACCTTGGAGTGGCTCCAGGGTCCCACCCGATTGCCAAACTCTGAATTGCTGAATGTATTCGCTACCTCTTTCATTGTTTATAGAAAGCAGGCGAAGGCTTTGAAACTGAACCGGGGCTCGGCCGGGCTCTATATACAGACACGGATAAACACGGCAGCTTCGCCAAGACACTCGCCCCGGAGTTCCCCTTGAAAGCTCGCAGAGTTTTAGCTAGAAACGCTAGCGTTCTGGGGGAGGAGGAGAGAGGGTGGTGCAGCTCTCCATGTCAGTGTGAGTGTGTGAGGGTTTGTGAGTGTGTGTGTGTCTGTATGCACGCGCGCGTCCAGGCCTGGGGACGTCCTGGCTACATCCCTACCCGTGCTGGACTGGTCTTCTGCGTCCTGCAAGGCAAAAGGCTAGAGGATGCCCCGAGCAGGCATGTGGAGCAGGCGGCCGGTAGGCCTAAGCCACCGAGTGTGTGAAGGGGGAGGGCGGAGCCGCCTCTCCAGACGCCCCCGTTCTCCAGCCGAAGCCTCCCTCAATAAACTGACAACAGTGACATTTATTATTATTTAAAATTAAACAAAGTCTGCTCCCCGCTCGGCCCAAGGCCTGAGTGAACTAGGAGGCGCGTTCTGTTTATATCAACGAACTGCAGTCCTCTTCCTATTCCCCCAGGAAGGAAAGACACGGCCGAGTCCCCCTTTCCCCCCCAGCATCAGCCGAGAGGATTTAACTATAAAAGGCCTGCGAAGTCTTCTGCGCCCCCGGCTCCCGGCGCACTTGCTCAGCTGATAAACACCGCGAGGCTTCGGCTCCTGGGCTCGGAGGGAGAGGCCTCCATTCGACCCTTCCCGCCTTCTCAGAGTGAGCCGAGATAGGCCAACCTCTCTTTTCCCACACACACCAGCCTTGAGAATCTTTGCTTTCTGGGGCGTGCTCCTCAGAAGGTGGAGGGGAATTCGAGTGCGCTAGGGCGCAGAAGGTAGCACAGAAGGCACAGTTCCGGGCCATCAGCTCGCTAACGACTCCATCCTAGTTCAGGCCTCAGCTCTTTCTGAAACCAAATCTGGGAGAGTTTGGAATTTCTTCGCTGAGGGCCAAAGAATTTCGACTCTCCAAGGAAGAGTGCCAGGGGCCTTGGAGAAGTTGTGCGGCACTCAGGAATAAACTCTTGCTAGAGACCCGTGTCAGAGGTCACCCACCGAGTTATAGTGGGAACCGCGGCCTCCCTCATCCTCCCGGGGCAGGGGACTGAAGCCAGGCCAGGAAGGCTGTGCGCACCCACGCGTGTGCGGCTCTGGGGCGCACACACCTTGGCGTACACGTGACCCCTTAGTGCCGTGAGGATCGGCGGAAGCACCTGGCTAGACTGATCCTCTAGGATCGGCGCCTACCTTTGTACCTAATAAGCCTCCTCTCCCCACAAATATTCATAGTAGGGGTCTGGTTCTAAAAAGGGCAGTTAGCAAGAGTTGAAATGGAGGTCCCTTTGAAGCATCTTCAAAACCAGTTCTCTAGAAGCGCCCGCGTCCGGGATTCTGTTTTCCTGTAAAGATACCTACAGTTGCCCGCCTGCTGTTTTCACCTCCCTTCTCCTTTCTCCTCCTTATAACTTCAAGGGAAACCCGGGCTGGATCCTGAGGAAAGCGGAACGGGACCAGTTTCCAATTCCACGTTTCTCCAGGAATCGCTTCTTCCCTTAAAATGGTTGGAGGCTGTCTTCAAAATATTGGCATTAATTCCCGCCCCCCACCCCCGTCCCTCTCTCTTAGGCGGATGTTTCCCAGTTACAAAGTGAAGGTGACCGGCCTTAATCCCAAAACGAAGTACATTCTTCTCATGGACATTGTACCTGCCGACGATCACAGATACAAGTTCGCAGATAATAAATGGTAGGCACTGGGGTGGCAGGTGGAGTGGGGAGGGAGGAAGGTGGAACCTTCTCCCGAGAATTTGAATCAGTTAACATTGTTTATTTTTTTTTTAGTTCCTACTGTGCCCTAAAGGCTCCTGTGTGCCTATCCATTTGCTTTTTAATAATCATTCTCAGACGAAGAAAGTGCAACCATTAGCTCCCGTTTTCCAGATGAGAAAACGGAAGCTAAGAGGAAATGAGGTGCCTGTGTCTATCACTGTACCCACAAGGTTGTGGAGTTTTACAAAGGGCATTGTTACCAAGCGCTGGAGGTATTTCTGGGGGCATAAAACCATTTACAGTTATTTTTTATGAGTTACCTACTTTGAACATGCATTTTTATGAAATTGCAAAATCGGCTCGCGGTATTGGAGTTAAACAGTTAAGAGAGGAGAGGCCCATTTCTTGGGTAGATTGTGCCCATGGCTGCCAGCAGTGCAGAGGCCTGACAGTGAAGTCCTGGTTGAAAGCCCTCAAGGAGTTTTCAAGGCTTTTTGCACGTCCAGACCTCCAGAGCCTGCCACTTGTTTATGGGATGCAAGAGGCTATAAGAAGAAAGAGCTGGGCCAGGGGCCTGCCTGGACCCAGGTACCAAGTACGCTGGGGCATCTGGGATTGCAGATGCCTAAGGGAGATGGGAGAGCCTTCAGCTTATGTGTAGCTACTACTCAGCAACGCTCACCTGGTGCATGAACTGAAGCATGCTCCAGTGAAGTTCGTTACCTCCAGACTCTGAGCCAGGCCTCTGATCATACCTCTCCTTGGTCTAGGTCTGTGACAGGCAAAGCTGAGCCTGCCATGCCTGGCCGCCTGTACGTGCACCCGGACTCGCCTGCCACTGGGGCTCATTGGATGAGGCAGCTCGTCTCCTTCCAGAAACTCAAGCTTACCAACAACCACCTGGACCCATTTGGGCACGTGAGTACTGTGTCCTGTATCCCACGCCGTCTCTCCCTCTTGTCCTCTCTCCCTTCCCACTCTCTTCTTGGCTCTGCATGCTCACACTTCTCCTTTTCTTTGCTTCATTTCCGCCCACTTTGGGCATTCTACCTCTGCCTCCTTGATCTGGACTTCCTTTTCCTTCCTTTTTTTCCCTTCTATCTATCTCATTTCTTCTCTCATTCCTTTCTCTTCTTTCTTTCGCCTCATTTGGCTCTCCCTTTGCTTTCTTTTTCTTCCTAGGACTTCATTCTCTGTCTCCACTTCTCTCCTGTGCAGATATCTGCCCCTTTGCAGTCTCCCTGTGATCCACGCCCCCCAGCTCTGTGTCTGTCGTTCCTTTGTGGCTGGAGATATGGCCTGCCGGTTCACCTGGGCTGGGGCTGTATCCTTGCTGCTAGCACCCCGACCCCTCTGCCTTTGCCTAGGGATGGAGGAATAACTGAAGCTGCTCATTCCAGGCCTGGGGAGTCTGTGAATTCGACCTGTGGTTAGGAGTGGAGGGCTGTGTTTCAGACTTACAGAAAACATGGACCATCTAGCCCAGTGGGTACCTAGTATAGACTGCACAGAGGCTGGACCACAGTGAAAGCCATATCCATTCCCTCCCCACTTCCCAATCCTGCCCTATTATTGGGACGTCCCAGGGGTAGAGGGAGAGCCCAGCTCACCTGCCCCCTCTTTTACAGATGGAAAAATGAACTCATAAGAGGCAAACTATGGTGCCAGTGCCGCTTTTTAGCTTGATACTCCTGGGGAGATCTGTTTTTCTTTTCAACATCCAGCTTTCTCCCTTTCCACACTGTGCCCAGAGCAGGCGAACCTAAACCACGGTCCTAAACTTGGAGTCTGGATTGGACCCAAGAGAAAGGTCTGGTGAATTTCCTGAAACTGAACACAGGGCATTGAATGTGCAGCCTGCCCACCACCCAGAAGAATGTGTAGGCTTTAGTGGATTCTTAGTATAGGCATCACTTCTCTTCCCCAAAGAAAAACAAAACACAAAACACTGATTGTTGAAAAAATGTCCCCCAGTCTCATCGTAGGAGATAATCACTAGAACAGAACACAGATTCTGAATTCACCTTTAGAACCCTTAGCTGGATGATTCTGCAATACAAGTGGGTTCACTCATCTTAGGGCATTTGATCCTCATGGCAGCCTAGGGGGAGGACTGAGAGGCATAGCTTTTGCATGGGAGAGTCCTGGGGACTGGAGATGACTTGACAAGGTCCTGCAGCTTGTACTTGGGAGCAGAGATTTGAGGCTAGGTTTCTCTAATTGCAAAAGGGATTCTCTGTCCTGGAAGGTTGTAGCTTCAAAGAGGAGCAACAGACAAGCCCACGGTTGCCAATTTCAGGGAAAGGAGGGGGCTAGGCGGGAATGAATTTGGCCAAGGTGGGGAGATGGTTTATGAAGGTCCAAATGAGAAATCTGCTACTTCGAGGCCTTGGGGCTGAAGTTCTGAAGCCCCCAGGATCTGGGGTGGGAAGAGGATCTCAGGGATCCCCATTGATGGATGAATGCAGCTCTCAGCACGTGGGCGGGGAGGAGATTGGGTGGCTTGCTAGAGAGGAGAAAGAACCATTCCGTTTCTGTGTAGCCTGCTGGGAGGGCCGGGCATTCCCAGGCAAATGCAGAGCCTTTCTGTTAAACCCGGGTGTTTGGCCCACGAGTCCTTGCTGGGCTTCCCAGGAGGTGCTCTGTGCGTTCAGCTTGCGTGGGCGTTGGCTGACCCGTCCTGGGTATGTATCTGCCAGTACCCAGCAAGTACTTTACCAGCACCAAGGAAAACCGGGGCTGTTTCTAAAGGTCCCACATGCATCTCTGGGCTGGCTCCTTCTGGAGCGTGGGACCCTTGGGTGTGGTCCTGCGTGGTCCTTGACGCTGGAAAGTGAGATGGTTCCCGTTTCAGCTCCTAGCTTTTTCTCTGCTCCTCTGGAGTGCATTGGAGTCTCTCTGGGGCGGATGCCTGCGGAAGGTGCACAAACTCCACCACCAAACTCCTGGCATCCCTGCCAGCTTCAGGACCTTCCCAGTTGGGGAGAGGGGCTGGGCACTGCTCGGAACTGCACAGAAGCCAGGCATTTCCACCCTGAACTCCGGACTTTCGTTCAGAGCGGCCCTAATGAAATTAGGAGCCATTAGATCGCCCTCGCGCTGATGTCTCCACACTGTCCCCAGCCGTCAAAGCAATTTGGCTAAGCCGGGCCGATGGCCGCGCCGGCCCGGGACTGTGGCGGCCAGCGGGGCCCTGCTGCGTCTCTCTGTCGCCACGCCGCCCCGGTCGGCGTCGCTATCGGCCGGGGAGGCGGCTGGGCCACGGCGGCCGGAGATTAGAGCCGCGCGGCCCGGGGTCGGGCACCGCAGGACCCACGAGCTCCTCATCCCTCCCCCGCCCGGGCCGCAGCTTCCCTCCCCCAACTACCTCCACCCGCTCGGGCCGGGCTCCGGGGTTGGTCCAAGAATCCTGCCCCAGGGTCATCAATGCAAATAATCAATGTCACTGAGACAACCTCCGCAGCTCCCGGGGAAAAAGCAGGCCAGATTTTCAGGCTGTTAAACGCGGTGATCCGCGCGGTCCGTGGCGATGTATGAGAACGTTTTGGTAAATATTAGCGTTAACAGCCTCCCGGGAGCATCAAAACCTAGGCGTCATCAGAACAACAAACCCAGTTTTATTGGTAAGGATGCTCATCTGTGACCAGCCCTGGCTCCAGCAAGAACGCGCAGCCTGGAAGTCCTCCTCCTCCTCCTCCTCTTCCTAATGATAATTGGGGTTGTAAAAATAACAGCATAACTACAGAAGTTAAGGCCCCTCTTGTCCCTGGGAGCCCCCTAAACATGGGGAAGATAGGAAGGAAGTAAAAAGAGAATATTCCCGACAAACGAGATGTAGCCGTTCTGTCTGAGGCCAAGTATGCAGATAATTCTGGTTGTGGATCCTGAAATGTGATCAGGTTGGAGAAAGGGAGTTTCCAAGGCAACCAGCCCCTTCTTTGAGGGGCGTGTGAGGGGTGCCTCGTCCCCACACCTTATGACCCGACGTCCTTGGAGGCCAGATCAACTGCACCCCCCCAAATATATTCTCTTTTCACTAACTCTACTTTGCTTGTTCTCCAAACAAAGGCCCCAGATTTGAGGTCTAATCACCCACCCCAAGCCTCAGAAAAAGGCTGTGCAGTGAACTGGTGACTTTATTTGTTGTTAAATTCCAGTTTTTTAAATACTTGGTCTCTTCTCTTGCATCCCTCAGAGATTTGGGAGTGGGGGTTATTTCTATGATTGTTTATTTGTTGTCCCCTTGCCCCCACACCACCTGTCAATCCAAAAGTGTTGTTCAGGCTTCCCCCCAGACTGAGATTCCTCAATCGAGACTTGCTCAACTCCCTTTAGGGGTGGGAAGTGCCCTATGCAGGGAGTTAATTTATTAAGCAAACTTTGTTATGAATTCTGATTTACTGCTCTGTGTGCCTTGGGTAGATTCCTGGAGTATTACCCTGGCTTTTTCGGTTGAAAATTGTTATTTTTGAAATGTTTCTTTTTAATGAAATCCCTGGCCCCTTTTCAAAACAGCAGAAAAATACCTATTTTTCAAGAGCTGGTATAACAATGCGAATCTAGAGGGCGGGGAGCAGGGTTTTTATCTGGAGACAAAGGGAGTTTTGATTTTCTTACAATATCATTTTCTTTATTATTTTTAGATTATTCTAAATTCCATGCACAAATACCAGCCCAGATTACACATCGTGAAAGCGGATGAAAATAATGGATTTGGCTCAAAAAATACAGCATTCTGCACCCATGTCTTTCCTGAGACGGCGTTTATAGCAGTGACTTCCTACCAGAACCACAAGGTAAGCCCAAAGCCCAGGAACCAGTGCCTGGGGCCGTCTGCTCTTTCTTTTGCAGGAATCTGCAAGGGTTTCCTGCTGGAACTTCGCTCCTCGCCGTCACCAACTGTGACCCCAGGGTGCTGGGGTGGGGACAAAGCTGCAGCCTAAGAGTTTCAGCTGTTTGTACTACGTCCCTGGGCTTGGCATAATGGTCACAACCACACATATGCACCCACACCAGTTAGAAACAAACCTGTCATACCATATGGGCCATACACTCAAATGGCACAAGAAGGCATCCCAATGACTTTGTGAAATGCCTAGTTGGAAGAAAAGTTGCTTATTGCCCGGCTCTGGTGCCACTGTTTCATTTCTGGGGCCACCTTTTCTGCTGGGATCAGTTTTCTCCTCTCTGCCTTTTTAATGTGTTTTTTTTTTTTTTCCATCTGAGAGAGGGTCTCACTCTGTCACTTAGGCTGGAGTGCAGTGACACAGTCATGGCTCATTGCACCCTTGACCTCCCAGGCTCAAACGATCCTCCTGCCTCAGACTCTGGAGTAGCTGCGACTATGGGCATACACCACCATTATGCCTGGCTAATTTTTAACTTTTGTTTTTTGTAGAGATAGTGTCTTGTTATGTTGCCAGGACTGGTCTTGAACTCCTGGCCTCAAGCAACCCTCCTACATTGGTCTCCCAAAGTGTTGGGATTACAGGCATGAGCCACTGCTCTCACTCTGCCTTTTAGATGTATCTCAACTGGCAACAGGGCAGGTAGCAAAGTTGCCAGGATCCTTAGGACGGGACTTTCCTGATGCTTCCCTAATTGTTTCAGCAATCACTGATTCCAGACCACATTCATGAGCAAGGTTTGCCTTGTTAAAATGACAACAGAACAACCTGTGCCGCCAGCAGCTTGGAATAATGCTCCCAGGACTTAGACAAGAGCCTGCAGAAGCACAGCTTGGTCAGGGGAGGCACACCATGCACTCAGCCCATGCATTGCTTGGGAGAAGGTGGCTGCAGTTTGATGTAGGGGCAGGATACTGCCAGGTGGATTGTGTGGAAGTCAGACCCCATGAGTTTCAAAATCCAGCCGCTGGTTTTGGCATTTCAAAGCTTGGCAATGACTTTGGAGCAGGCTGCCTGTAACAGCAGGTTGGAGGGTGGGGGGAGTATCTTCTCTTTTTCCTCAAGAGAAAGGTTGTTTTGACTTGTCAGGATTTACCTCTGTTCCTTAGATACCCGAGTGCATGTGGATTCGTTTTATTGCGGGAGGCAGGAGGGATTTAATGCTTCCTAAGCCTTGTTATGAAAAGATCTGGAATCTGGAGAGGCAAGAAATAGGTGCTGGAAGAGGAGTTCCTGCCCTCCTGGGGTTGTAGACTGTTAGGAGTATTAAGCAGTGATTTGGGCTTAGAAGGCTGTGGGAGGGCAAGGTGGGAGGGGATCCATGTGGGATCTGTGAGGGCAGATCACCTAGATGGATGTGGGATGGTGCACACCTCCCCCTTCATAGCTCTTGTCCCCACCAGCAAGGCTGGGGTGGAAGGGGGACTGCAGGGGGCGGGGCAGAGAAGGGTGAGAGGCAGGCTTAGCACCCCAGATCCTCCCGTCACCCCTCAAAGGTCATTCCAGTGTAGGCTGGCTTGGCAGAGAATGCCCCAACTGAGGCCGGGACTGCTCCAAAATACTGTGGGTAATCTCTAAATCCAGATTGTCTGTGAACAGGCCAAGCTGTGATAGATAGTTCCTTCTAGGCCACAAGGTCTGTCTGGGAACTCAGGTCAAGGGAGCTTCCTGCCCTCAGAAAGAAAACTCATTCCCCTCAAAACACCATTCCTTTTTAAAGAGGAAGGAGGATTTTTCTGAGTATCCCCACATTTGTTGAACTAAGAGAGCAAAACTGAGGGTTGAATGCCCTGAAAGGTACAAAACTGTTTCAGGCCAATTTGAGTCTGACTCCTTGAAACCTGTTTCCCTCAATGGGTGCTGTAAACCTCTCTTCAGCTTTGCGGTGACGGTCACAGGAAGAAAAAAAAAAAGGAAAAAAACAGCAATATGGAAGCTCAATTTTTCCTATATATGTATATACTTACAGGCTCCCAGACCTGACAGGAGTCCAAAAATATATCAGATATTTCCCTCCTCTACCCCAAGAAAGCCCAGGTTCATGTAGGAGGACAGGAAGGGTGGACATATAAAAGTGACCTGCTTAAAAAACCATCTGAGTGCTCGGGTCCTTTGAAAGAAATACCCTAAATTCTGTGTAGTTATGATCTTCAGATTCATCGGGTGTGGATAGATGTGGGAAAACTCTCTCTCTCTCCTTCTCTCTGTTGATAGCCTTATTGGAGAATAATTGTCATCCAATAAACAGTCACATTTGAAATAGACAATTTGGTAAGTTTCACGTGTACACACACACACACACACATGCACACACCTGTGAAACAGTCACCGAAACCATTTGTGAATATGCCCAACACCCTTTACATTTCTATTTCAAAAATGTCTTCCCCAATGCACATATTTAGTAATTGATGTGCATAAATGACTGCCTGCCCAACGGGGTGTGTATGTGTGATTTTTTTTTTAGCACAATCTAGGGAATTGTGTGTCTGAATGCTCACAGGTCTAAGAATGTGTGTCTCCAAATATACATTTGGACATACGTGTATTCAATGGCCATACTAAAGGGTCACACACAAGAATTGCTTTTTTTTTTTTTTCTTTATTGGTTGAGTCACCTGTGCATAAAGTTCTGTTTAGCCAGCCTGACAGATTCCTTGACATCTGGGATTGAAATTTCAGGGGGGACAACTTTCTGTTACCCTCCCCCACTTCTTACTTTAGAGCACCAAAGGCACCTATTTTCTTTTCAGGAGCAAATCCAAAACTGCTCTTTCCCAGTCAAGTGCAGGGCCCCTGCAAACATTTCCCACATGGATATATGATGTGTGATTTAAATAAGCGGCCCAGGGTTGCATGTGATTTGTGGACTCGGTCTTGTTACTTTATTGTCTCACCTGGACCGGGTATTGAGACTTCTGACTTCATGGGTGGAAGCCAGCTGAGCTTGCCATCGCATAGGGTTAAGGTCGAGGATGGTGGAGGCAGACTGCTTGGGTTCAAATCTATTCTACTTTGGGCAAATGACTTAACTCCATTCCCCCATCTGTAAAATGGGGATAATAAGAGAACTCACCTCATAGGTTGTTGTGAGAATTCAGTGAGATAATTCCTGGGAAGTGTGTCATGTGAGACCTGGCAGAGAGCTAGCACGGAGCATTAGTAATGATTGATAAGACCGTCGATTGACTACTTAACTGATCAGTTCATTAACAGGGCGACTCCATCCAAAACACAGACTTCTGAAAACTCTTTGCTTACTCATTCTAACTTCCTGGCTAGTTTAGAATCTGAAAGACTGGGATTTTAAATAAGTTCTTATTCCTGTGGTTGAAAAACAACTGCAAATGTTAGCCTTTGTGATTTAGTTGGCTCATTCCCTGATCATGTCATCAATTCAATGACTATTTGTCTAGCATTTTGCCTTGGATAAATGAGCAGAGAAAGAAAAGCAATGCATGTGATTAACTTGCCAAGACAATTTGGAAAAATAAGGGCCACCATTTTTATGGCCCAACAGCCCAGTGCCTTCAGAATGATCTTTCTGTGCTTGGATGTAGGTACCAGGTGGAGGTAGGTATGCGGCAGGGCTGAGTTCTTAGGCTGCAATCACATACCCATATACCACAGGGCCTCTAATGACGAGACACATTTCCTCAGCCCAGCTGTGATCTCAGGCTGGATTTGGGACTTATTTCCCCAGATGGTTGACAGCTTGAAAAAGATATTTAAAAACCCAAATCTTCCCCAGCGACGTTCATTCTGTGAAACACGTTTTTGTAAAGTTTTCACTGCAGTTGTCAGCAGCTCCCAGAGCAATCCCTAGAAATATTTAGGTGTTAAAAAAAGGTCACATGGGCATTTCATTTCCCTGTTCTTGCAACAATGGCTGTGTATGCAAGCAATGTCTATCCCCAGATATTAACCTAACTTCGCCATTAAAAGGCATTTTCCTCCTGCTTAAATCATTGTGTAAGGAATCTATATTTATGAGGTATGAGCTTTCTGGTTGGGACCAGGAAATGAACCCTTAATAGAGAGACATAATTAAGATTTTTAGCCCTCGTGAGGGTTTTTAAAAATTTTTTTCAAAAGCAAGAATTCACAACAATTATTCTCATTAATTTTTACAACCTCTGTCTCAGTTGGAGCTGGTATTTATATTTGTTTTTCCCCCACTCCCAACTCTCCCCCGGATATCCGGTTTTATGTTGATTTCGAAGGGAGTACATTTGCATGGCGAATAGAAGTCAGTTTCAGTGAAGCCTTTTGGTGGAACTGAGAAATCCAGGTGTATCAGTTTGTGTGCCCATGATCTAACACACAGCATATTAGGAAGGGACTTTTATAAACACTGTTATAGTACGTGAGGGGACAGATATTTTAACCTGCAGATAAGGTAGATTGTTGACATTTCTCAAGGGTAATTCTTATGTCATATAGGTATCTACAATCAGTTTCCAAAAGAAGTTACATGTGAAGATCAACATACCTTACAAGCGTACATGTAAGAAATTGTGCTTATCTTGTGCAGCCGTATTTTTGCAAGCTGTGATGGTAAGCACAAGATTAGATAGTAGCCAATCTGTTTGCGGTGCAAGGAATGGATTTGAGCAAAAGTTTTTGCTGATAACGTAAAATCTACCCTTTTCTTCTTTCCTTGGGGCAATTTTTTGTCCTGAGTTGTTGGTGGAGCAGTGACATCAGGGACTGAGCACCAATTCTGATACTCAGATCCTCACTAAACACTGCTGTCACAGCCTCACCATCTTTGACATTTGCTTCTGAGACTGGGGTGGGGTGGAGTGGGGGCGGGGGTGAGAGGAAAAGATGTGTTTAATCTGCGTTTAAATGGTCTATTTTTCCTTAACTTTTTCTGAATCCATTAAAAAATGATTTATGGTCAACTGGGTGAAATTTTATTGTGACAAAACCTGAATGAGAAAAAAAAAAAAAAACCCTATTAGGTGTTGAGTTTTTAGACTCTTAAAATACAGGTGAATACAGGAGTATGCATCTTCAGATGACTTTCCAAAAGGATTTTATAGATTTTTCTATTCATTCAGAAGAGTCAAGAAAAAGTCTGAGGCTGGGTGTGGTGGCTCATGCCTGTAATCCCAGCACTTTGGGAAGCCAAGGCAGGTGGATCGTTTGAGGCCAAGAGTTTGAGACCAGCCTGACCAACATGGTGAAACCTCGTCTCTACTAAACTACAAAAATTAGCTGGGTGTGGTGGTGGGCACCAGTAATCTCAGTGACTCGTGAGGCTGAGTGAGGCAGGAGAATTGCTTGAACCCAGGAGGGGGAGACTGCAGTGAGCCAAGATTGCACTGCTGCACTCCAGCCTGGGCAACAGAGTGAGACTCTGCCTCAAAAAATAAAAATAAAAAAATGAAAAAAAAATCTAAAGCTATAGGAATAGACACAGTTAAACAAAAATGGGCTGGGTGTGGTGACTCACACCTGTAATGCTAGCACTTTAGGAGGCTGAGGCAGGCAGATTGCTTGAGCCCAGGAGTTCCAGACCAGCCTGGGCAACAGAGTGAGACTGTCTCTCCAAAACCCTAAAAAAAAAAAAAAAAAAAAAACAGGTGATGTGAGGGAGAATGTGTAGACACACCCATACACAGATATTTAGAAAGTATTTTAAAATAGACAAAATAGACTTTAGGGTAGGCATAGTGGCTCATACCTATAATCTCAGCACTTTGGAAGGCCAAGGTGAGTGGATCGCTTGAGCTCAGGAGGTCAATGCTGTAGTGAGCTATGATCACTCCCGTGCACTCCAGCCTGGGCAACACGGTGAGACCCTGTCTTAAAAAAATTAAAAAATTAAAAAATTTAAAAAGTACTTGGCTCAACTGGGCACTGTGGCCCACGCCTGTAATCCCAACAGTTTGGGAGGCTGAGGTGGGTGGGTCGACTGAGATCAGAAGTTTGAGACCAGCCTGGCCAAGATGGTGAAACCTCATCTCTGCTAAAAGTACAAAAATTAGTGGGCGTGGTGGCAGGCACCTGTAATCCCAACTACTCCGGAGGCTGAGACAAGGGACTTGCTTGAACCCAGAAGGCAGAGATTACAGTGAGCCGAGATTGTGCCACTGCACTCCAGTCTGGCTGACAGAGTGAGACTCTACTTCAAAAAAACAAAACAACAACAAAACAACTTGACTTGGCACAGTGGCTCAGCCGGCCATCCGTGTAGTTTGGGAGGCCAAGGCAGGAGGACTGCTTGAACTCAGGAGTTCCAGACCAGCCTCGACAACATGGTGAAACCTCATCTTAACTAAAACTAAAACTAAAAAAATTGGCCCAGTGTGGTGGTGCATGCCTGTGGTCCCAGCTGCTTGGGATGCTGAGGCAGGAGGATCGTGTGAGCCCAGGAGTTTGAGGCTGCAGTGAGCTACGTTCGAGCTACTTCACTCCAGCCTGGGTGATAGATCGAGCCTCCTTATCCAAACAAAACAAAAAAAGACTTCAGTTTTTGGAGCAATTTTAGGTTCACGGCAAAGCTGAGCAGAACATACCAGGATTTCCCCTATACCTTCTCCCCACCGCATGCACAGCCTCCCCGACCACGGACATCGTACCACAGAAGGGAACATTTGTTACAGTTGATGAGCCTGCATTGACACATCACCCAGAGTCCGTAGTTCACATTAGGGCTCGCTCTTGGTGGTGTACGTTCCATGGGTTTGGACAAACGCATAATGATGTGTATCCTCCTTTATAGTATCATAGGGAGGGGTTTCACAATCCTAAAAATCCTCTAGGCTCTACCTGTTTATCCCTCCCTCTTTCTAACCTCTGACAACCACTAACTTTTTTTTTTTTTTTTTTTTTTTTTTTTTTTTGAGATGGGGGTTTTGCTTCTTTACTCCCATGCTGGAATGCAGTGGCACAATCTCAGCTCACTGCAACCTCTGCCTCCAGGGTTCAAGCAATTCTCCTGCCTCAGCTTCCTGACTAGCTGAGATTACAGGCACCCACCACCACGCCCGGCTAATTTTTTGTATTTTTAGTAGAGACGGGGTTTCATCGTGTTGGCCAGGATGGTCTTAAACTCCTGACCTCAAGTGATCCACCAGCCTCAGCCTCCCAAAGTGCTGGGATTACAGGGGTAAGCCACTACACCTGGCCAACCACTGACCTTTTAACTGATTCTATAGCTTTGCCTTTTCTAGAATGTTGTATAGTTGGAATCATATATCTTAAAATGTTAATTATATGTACATTTTTATGGTAAATACACATAGGTACACACACAAATAATAATTTTATTTTCAACATAGAGTCTTGGAGTTAGAGGTAAACCTCATAGGTCATCTTTTCCAGAAAGCAGAACAGACAAGAATTCCTCTCTTCAAATGAAAAAAATTAGAGGGTGCCTTCATTTATCAGGTAGTTTCTCAAATCTGTAACTATACTACTGGGATATATGAGATGATTTTTAGGAATATTCGAATATGATGAAATCACAGAGAAAATTGTTTTTTTCTTTTCTTTTTCTTTTTGAGATGGAGTTTTGCTCTGTTGCCCAGGCTAGAGTACAGTGGTGTGATCTCGGCTCACTCTAACCTCCTCCTGGGTTCAAGTGATTCACCTGCCACAGCCTCTGGAGTAGCTGGGATTACAGGAGCCTGCCACCATGCCTGGAAAAATTTTTTTTTGTTGTTATATTTTGTGTAGAGATGGGATTTCACCATGTTGGCCAGGCTGGTCTTAAACTTCTGACCTCAAGTTATCCGCCCACCTTGGTTTCCCGAAGTGCTGGGATTACAGGCGTGAGCTACCATGCCTGGCTGAAAGTTGTTCTTTTTAAAATTATCTTTCTCATCTTTTATTAGAGAGGGAGTCTTAGTTCAGTATTGGTTTGTGTTAACTCCTTCTCTAAAAGTGTCTAATTCCCACTTGCAACAAAAAGAAGGCAAGCTTTGGATGTAACTAGAGAAAATCTCATACATTCATTTTCTTCTTATTGAATAGCAAGCGATTCTAGTTTGTCGTACAAAGAAGTGATATCATATTTGTGTGAAACAAATGTAAATAAAAAGTGATTTGATTTAAATAAAAATATTAAGCCAGCATACAGGTGCTGTATAGGTATAGCAATGATAGTGAGAGAAAACTTTGAATGACTGATATTTGAGTCATGCTGCTCTCTGATTATTACATGATTCTCGACGAAAATTCAGTTCACATGCAAGTTTTAGGAAATTCTTCTAGCAAACTCCATATGGATGCATTCTGTCACCTGGGCCTGCTACTGTATATTCACACTAATATAATACGTTGATGGATTAAAGTTCTGGGCCTGGAACCAAAATGTGCAAAAAGACCCTCTTCTGTAACTATGCTTTGTATGTTGCAACACAGATTTCTAAGATAGAACTCTCTCTTCTTTGCTTAGGACATTAAAGAGGTTTGGTGCTGTTCAATAGCTATCATACATGTTATCATTATGTATGTTGGTATTTGTTTCATTAGGCACAATTTCCCACCAGAACTAGCAAACGCTATCTGCGAAACTATGAAATGAACATGAAATGAGGCATAATAGAATTTTTGAAGGCAATAATCAAGACATGTTTTCTGCAGAAACAGAAAACGGGGGCCAACCCTTCCAAATGGAGCTCACCCTGCTGCCGGATGTGGAACAAGCATGTCAACATGCACAGCTTTCCGAAGGGGGGCGGGAACTGAGTGTGGAGGCCTAGATGGCGCTTCAAACACAAAATGCAAGATTGGAAAAAAAAAAAAAAAATACAAAAGAACCCGGCTGGAATGATGCAGAGTATGAATCCAATTAATGAGTAAACCAAATCCAGGTGTTTTTCCCCTTTTAAAAACTGTCCGATGGAGGACGTGTTTCAAAGCCTCCACTTGAATGAAGTTGTGGGTCCCGTTGACGTGACTGGCTTAATTTGCTTCTTTTGGTTGCCAGAGGCTGCATTTCCATGACATTTATTATTAGCTCATGTCCCGAGGTGGTCTTGTAGCAATCAACCAGCTTTCTCTCTTTCCCTCTTTCCTTCAGATCACGCAATTAAAGATAGAGAATAATCCCTTTGCCAAAGGATTTCGGGGCAGTGATGACATGGAGCTGCACAGAATGTCAAGAATGCAAAGGTAGGAAAGTGGATTTTCTCCTCCACAAATACCCCTCTAATAACCCAGGTAAGCCAGCAGAACCCAGCACCTCCCTCCACCAGCCTTCCTGCCCATAGAATGCCAGGCACAGAGAAATGGGGAGAATGAGCCCCTCCGTCCCATTTTTTGATAACCCTCACATGTGGGGTTGACACCATTGGACAACCAGGAGAATAAATTTCCTAGTGGAGAGAAGGTACAAAAAGTTTGGCGTTCTCCATTCGCCCAGGGAACAAAAGGCACAGCTTTCTCTTCTTTCTCTGTTGTCTGTCTCCCTGTAGGGAAACCCTTTCTCTTTTTCTTCCCATAAGTCACAGCCGATGAATGCTTTTCTTTTTGGCAACAGCTCTTGGTAAATGAAAGAGAAGTTAATGAGTTGATTTCCTGAGGGTGAAATACAGACAAATTTGACACCATGTGGTGTCCAGGGCACTGGAGAATTGGAAGCTGGTGCTAAAAATTACTTGGTATTTTTACATATCCTGTGGTCATAGTTGCTGATATGATGAATCGAATGGGCTGTAGCAAATGTACATAGTGGGAATTTGGTCTGATTTGAAAGGATTGTACAAGCATTGCCAATTTTGTGGAACATTCTCTCTACCTCTTGATGTGCTTCCAAAATAACCTAACATATGGCAAGCAAATTAGAAATACATCTTGATCCCTCTGACCAAGAAGGTTAGAAGGTTTGTGTGTGTGTGTGTGTGTGTGTGTGTGTGTGTGTGTGTGTGTGTGTTTCTGTTTGGTGGGTTTAGTGTTTCAAAATAAAATGAGATCATTTCGGATGTTTTCTTATCCTTTCTGGAAAACATGAAAAGGGAGAGTCAGGCAGATAGACAAATTCATTCAGAGAAAGATAAGAGACCTAAGAACAGAAAGGGAGAAAGGCCTTAGATCTGTGGTTTTAATATTATGTTTAGAAATACATGCAGCAGAAAAATTGTTTTTAGATAGTGGGCTTATCAGGTCTAATTGTGCATGCTTTTTAAAAAATAATGCTGGCCCTGGTGGCATGTGCCTATAGCCCCAGCTACTCAGAAGGCTGAGGCAGGAGGATCTCTCAAGCCCAGGAGTTTGAGATTGCAGTGAGCTACGATCACACTACTGTACTGCAGCCAGGGCAGCATAGCAAGACTCTGTCTCCAAATATTAAAAAGCAGAACAATGACCCTGTCTCCAAACATTAAAAAATGAGGAATGTGGTACATGTGTACACACGTTCCTATTTTCATAAATTGGTTTCCCTCAAGATTGTGGACTCACAAGGTACTTTTTGTGGCTAAAATAGGCAAGTTCTCAATTTATTATAAAAATATATATACATTTTTATTTTTAAGCATCTACATTTTGAAATTGGAGTCTGATTAGGTCATAGAGTCCATAGGAAAGATGACAGCAAGTATCACGTTTTAGCTGAGGTTCAGTTATTTATGGCCCTAGGCTCAGAGCACCAACTTTCTGTTCCTATCCCATTCTGATGGTGATTTGCCATGAAGGTGGCTTAGTCATTGCCAAACAAAGTCACCTCTCAGTCCTACCAGCAAAGTGCCTGCTGTGCAGGTGGAAGCTGAAGGGAAATCGCCCATTCCAGCCTGCAACTGCAGGGTTTCCTCATCTCTCACCTCTTCCTTCCTTTTTACAAGGTCAAGAGCAGGGGGTGAATAATAGATTTAAGGTGTCTTGAGTCACCCTCTCAAACTTTACCAGTTACCGTATCCTGCTGATTTTACCTTCTAACATAACTCAGAATTCAGCCCCCTCCCTCTAGGCTGATAATTCTAGCTGCCACCAGAATTCTAGCCGCCGCCAATCATCCTAACCGACTGAGACCTTGAATTCAGCTCTGGTCTCCTCCAGGGACTTTCTTTAGGTAGTCACTAAAGAGATCTTTGTAGAACACAAATCGGACAAGTTCTGTTTGCAGCGGAGAACAAACATTGGAGTTCCCTGTTGCCCTCAATAAACGATTTGGACTCTTTTGCCTGGTTGGCCATGCCCTTCCCATCTGGCCTGGCCACCCTCCTTGATTTGTTCTAACATGTGTCAATCATGCTAAAGGAGAGGCTTCAAACCTGTGTTCTTTCCTTTATTTTTGGCCCTTTGAACATGCATTTGGTCTGCATCAAACTCTTTCCCCTCCTTCTCACCAGACCATCACCCAACCATCACTGGGCCTCCCTGTAGATTTTTCTTCCTCCAAGAAGCTTTCCCTGGCCACAGACTATGTGGTCAGCGCATGTCTCTTCCCAGGACCCCTCCTGGGAACCAGCCCCTAAAACTTTCCCAGTTACCCTCCAGGCTTTTCTGTGTCAGACCCAGGCCCTGCACTTTGGAAGCTGATTGGACAGATGACAGCCATGAAAGGAGAGATAGGTAGGCATGTGCAGGTGTGTGAGAGCTCAGATGGCAGTGATCAAGGATCAAGGGAGTCTTGCCTAAAGTTCTTTCTTTATTTTTTTTGAGACAGGGTCTCACTCTGTCCCTCAGGCTGGAGTGCAGTAGCGCAATCTCAGCTCCCTGCAGCCCCGACCTCCACAGGCTCAGGTGATCCCCCCACCTCAACTCCAAAGTACCAGGGACTGCAGGCACGTGCTGCTGCACCTGGCTAAATTTATATATTTTTATTTTTATTTTACAATTATTATTTTTTTGAGATGGAGTCTTGCTCTGTCACCCAGGCTGGAGTGCAGTGGCGCAATCTTGGCTCACTGCAACCTCTACCTCTCAGGCTCAAGTGATTCTCCTGCCTCAGCCTCCCAAAGAGCTGGGATTATAGGCACCCACCACCACGCTTGTCTAATTTTTATATTTTAGTAGACGCAGGGTCTCACCATGCTGGCCAGGCTGGTCTCGAACTCCTGACCTCGTGATCTGCCTGCCTCGGCCACCCAAAGTCCTGGGATTACAGGCATGAGCCACTGCGCTCAGTCTAAATTTGTATTTTTTTGTAGAGATAGAGTTTCACCATGTTGCCCAGGCTGGTCTAGAACCCCTGCACTCAAGTGATCTTCCTGCCTTAGCCTCCCAAAATATTGGGATTTCAGACATTAGCCACAGCACCTGGCCAACTCCCCTAAAGTTCTAAACACATGTTCATTTGTTTGTTTGTTTATTGAGACGGGGCCTTGCTCTGTCACCCAGGCTGGAGGGCAGTGGTGCGATCACTGCTCACTGCAGCCTCAATCTCCCAGGCTCAAGTGATTCTCTGGTTTCAGCCTCCCAAAGAGCTGGGTCTCCAGGTGCATGCTACTACATCCATCTAATTTTTGTATTTTTTGTAGAGTTGGGATCTCCTCAGGTTTCCCAGGCTGGTCACACAGGTGTTTAGGTATTTAGGCAGATGACTCTTCTTTGGTCTGAATTGGCTGTCCTAACCATCCCTCAAGGTATTGCAGATTGCTTAAGGTCTGGACTAGGTGTCCTTAATGGGTAGGAACTTTGCAGATGGAACAGAGGAAAGATGTGGCTAATCATCGGTAGACAGCCAGTAATTGACATGTTGAATCAAATCTCTCAGCCTAAGAGTCATGTGTGTCTTTGTGGCCATGTTAGGAGTTGCCCTGGAAACCAGAGGGCTGAACTAGCTACCAAGGAGGTTGGGGGAGTAGACGGGGTCATTGGCCAAGGTCTCTGGACATGTCCTTGGGGAAGGAGAAAGATTCAAGAAAGGTGGTTCCAACAGAAGGCTTTGGAGTCGGACAAACCTGGGGTCAATTCTTGCTCTGCATTTATCAGTAGGTGCCCTGGGGTAAGTGATTTAACTTCATGGAACCTCAGTATTCTCATATGCAGAAGGGACATAGATAACTATAGCCTCTACTTTCTAGGCTTCCTATAAAAATTATATGAGCAAATGCCTGCAGAGTGCTTGATTCCTAGTCTATGTATTCAGTACAATTTAACTGATTTGGGGACCACTACTCCCAATTTTGACCTTATTCAGAGTTTATTTTGGGCCATTCTCCCAACCCCCAGGTTGTAGTTGGTAGTGACAAGTGGGGACTATGGCTCTCCAGAGTCAGCCTTGATAACAGCCAGGCAGGAACGGCAGGCTCACTGCTAATCTTGTAATCCTGTTTCCTGTCCCCCACACACCCGGTGACAGCTGGCTCTGGGAGAAAAGCAGGAGGGATGAAATTTCCTCTAATTCCGACAGTTGGAAGAAGGGAGTGAGGCAGGGTTACAGAGAGTTAAGCATTACCTTGCAGTTATTCCACAGAAATAACCTTTGGATTCACTTGGCAAATGTCTGGCTGTTCTCCCCTCTAGCTCTTGGCCCAGCTCCCTGTGTTTGGAAAATGCAGATGATGCCTTTGTTATTTTCCAACATTTATTTATGGTTTCTAGTTATAGGAGCAATCACTGCTTATTATAAAAATTTGGGAGCTATGGGAAAGCACAAAGCATAAAGTCATTTAAACATCCTGTCTTTAACAGACTAATTAAAAGGTGTGCCAAAGTTATTTAGAAAGGTTAATGTGTGGTTTAAAAAAATCTAATCCTAAAAACTAATATTTCCCCAAATTACAGTAGTCTTAGATTGGTGACAAAGGAGATTTTAAAAAATCATACTATTTATTTATTTAGGACAGGGTCTTTCCCTGTCACCCAGGCTGTTATGCAGTGGCACAATCAGCTCACCACAGCCTCGAACTCCTGAGCTCCACTAATCCTCCTGCCTTAGCCTCTGAAGTAGCTGGACTACAGGTGCATACCACCATGCCCAGTTAATTTTTTGTAGTGATGGGGTCTCACTATGTTGCCCAGGCTGGTTTCAAACTCCTGGTCTCAAGCAATCCTCATGTCTTGGCCTTCTAAAGCACAGGAATTGCAGGTTTTAGGTGGTGCACAGATGCATGGACATACCAGGTCTGTGATTTCAGAGATGTTATTGCTCAGAATGAGACTGAGTTGTAGGAAAACAAGGAAAGAAGGAAGCAGAGAAGGGAGGGGAGTTAAGGCTGATTAAAGAGGAA